CGCAGGATGCTCAAGGAGCCGCTCACCGAGACCATCTTTCCCTCGGAGGGCATGAAAGCGGGTCTGTTGCTCAGCCGGAGCTTCGTCTGCAGGGTGTTGAAGTTGATCTCCAGCTGGCATTTCTCCTGCACTTTGGGGGGTTTGTGGACGCGCCGGTAGTCGCGGAAGTCTTCCAGCTTCTGTTGCATCTCCTGTATGGTCTTCTGCGGGCTGCGGTCCTCCAGCCAAGGGATGGTGCGCTTGATCCACTCCAGCAGCTGCGGGGGGAACGGGGTTTTAAAAAAAAAAGCGAACGGCAGAAGGTTTGGTTTTAGGGGGAAGGGGTTCCCCCCGACCCCGCCGGTGCCAGGGCGGCCGGGTGGCTTACGTCGGAAGCGAGCTTCTCGTAGTCTTCCATCAGGTGCTCGTTCTCCTGGTTGACGGCCAGCACTTTGCAGATGCGGTTGGCCGCGGTCTCGGCCTGGAGAAGGGGAAGAGAAGCACGAGGAGGGATTCAGAGCCATGGAAAAAGCTGCGGCGTCCCAACCCGCACGTCCCCATCCCAACCGGACCCGTTCTGCTGGAGCAACGCTCCAACCGGCCTGGGGGATTCGGGAGCTGCAGAGCATCCCCCCCTCCAGCACCCCAAGACCGTCACAGGTGACTTCCAGCTCAACTCCACCATCGCCACCTCCGCACAAGCATCGCGGGTCAAACCTTATCGACGGCTTTGCGGATAAGGCAAACTCGGCTTTCGAGTGCCGGAGCCCTGAAGCGCGCGGCCGCGCTGAGCGTGCCACCATCACGAGCGAGACCCGCGCTGCCCCGGTGGGTTTTTGGGTTTGGTTTTTTTTCCCTTCCCCGCTTTCTATCCGGAGGCGTGCTGCCCTGCCGGGGTCTGGCGCTGCTTTGCAAGGAGAAAGCCCATCGCATCCAGGCTGCTCCTCTTTTTTTCTTTCTTTTTTTTTTTTTTTTACCCATCTCTAAGCACCATCCTTCCATCTTCTGCTCTTCCACGAAGGCAGATCCTCTCTACAACTGGGCGGGAGGGTGAGGAGGAGGCAGAAAAGATAAGCTTGGGGGCTCGAGTACCTTGGTAGGCAGCACAGAAAGAGTCCAAGAAGAGGAGTTGAAAGCCAGACATCAACAGAAAGAGTGGAGAGGGTCTACAGAAGGACGGGGAAGAGGAAAAGCCAGTCGCCACGGGGGGAAAAATAAAATGAATAAATAAAAAGAGAAAAGCTAGGCATCAGAGGTCGGAAACGCGTCAAGGAAAAGGCAGGAGGGAGACGGGACGCAGTGCCGGGCTGCTCCTCCTGCTCCGGCTTAACGGCGTTAGCCACGCTCCCCGCCGAAACCAGGCGCTGCCGCCTCCGAGCGCGGCGCAGAAGAAAAGGGCAACGCGTTCCCGGAGCTAATCGAGGCCAGCTGACGAGGAGGGCATGCCGGCCGGGAGCGGAGCAGCAAAAATAAAAAACCCACCGGCCAGGCTGGGATTTGCAGCCCTCCCGCTGCAGGCTGCTGCTCTCCAGGAAGGGGTTCAGGCAGCCGGGAAATTAAGCCCAAGCTTTATTAATCATCCCGCAGCCGCCCGTGCCAAGGGGCGGCCGTCCTCGACAGCGCGGAAGCG